CATGGGACCATGGGTTGGATCCCCAGCAGGACTCATAAACCGGACACGGCATTAAATACCTGTGAGCCCGGAAGTGGGGAGGGAGGGCAGGAGGATGCCGTGTTTAAGACCACTGTTGATGTAGCCTTCCTGGATACAGGAGACCCTCAAGCAGGCAATAGGGACGAGAGGACGGAAGAGAGAAAAACAGAGTCCACAACTTCCGATTTCCTTAGCAGAAAGTGGGGGGCAACCTATGGGGGTCTCTACAGCCGTGCTTTCCCCAGGAGCGAGAGAAGAAGACACTGCTCTAAGATGGGACCTTTGGACCCACCTGGAGACACAGCTCTGGGCAGGGGAGGGCATCTCAGGTCAGGAACAGGACTGGGTGCCGCCCCAGTCCCCTGGCCCTTGGTTGACCCTCACACTGGTGCCTGAACCCTGGGCCAGGTTGAAACCCTTGAGGAGACATGCTGTTCTGAGCTTCTCTAGTGGGGCAGCGTGGGGCGGGTCGGGGCAGAGTGCCCGTGGTGGTGGCTAACAGGCTCTGTCCAAGGTGGGAACACCTCATCACCAGGAGGCCTGGCCAGGACTGGCAGCCGCTGCAGGCCAGGAGAAGGTGTTTTGTGCAAACCTTGGATGAGATCCCCATCCTTAGATAAGTCTCCAGGATACTTGTCCCGGCCAGCAGGATGAAAAGGGCCCCATCCTGCCCTTAGATAAGTCTCCAGGATACTCTGCCCTGGCCAGCAGGATGAAAAGATCCCCATCCTGCCCTTAGATAAGTCTCCAGGATACTCCTCCTGGCCAGCAGGATGAAAAGGGCCCCATCCTGCCCTTAGATAAGTCTCCAGGATACTTGTCCTGGCCAGCAGGATGAAAAGATCCCCATCCTGCCCTTAGATAAGTCTCCAGGATACTCTGTCCCGGCCAGCAGGATGAAAAGATCCCCATCCTGCCCTTAGATAAGTCTCCAGGATACTCTGTCCCGGCCAGCAGGATGAAAAGGGCCCCATCCTGCCCTTAGATAAGTCTCCAGGATACTTGTCCTGGCCAGCAGGATGAAAAGATCCCCATCCTGCCCTTAGATAAGTCTCCAGGATACTCTGTCCTGGCCAGCAGGATGAAAAGGGCTCCATCCTGCCCTTAGATAAGTCTCCAGGATACTCTGTCCTGGCCAGCAGGATGAAAAGGGCCCATGCTACCCTTAGATAAGTCTCCAGGATACTTGTCCCGGCCAGCAGGATGAAAAGGGCCCCATCCTGCCCTTAGATAAGTCTCCAGGATACTCTGTCCCGGCCAGCAGGATGAAAAGGGCCCATGCTACCCTTAGATAAGTCTCCAGGATACTCGTCCTGGCCAGCAGGATGAAAAGATCCCCATCCTGCCCTTAGATAAGTCTCCAGGATACTCTGTCCCGGCCAGCAGGATGAAAAGGGCCCATGCTACCCTTAGATAAGTCTCCAGGATACTCTGTCCCGGCCAGCAGGATGAAAAGGGCCCCATCCTGCCCTTAGATAAGTCTCCAGGATACTCTGCCCTGGCCAGCAGGATGAAAAGGGCCCCATCCTGCCCTTAGATAAGTCTCCAGGATACTCTGTCCCGGCCAGCAGGATGAAAAGGGCCCCATCCTGCCCTTAGATAAGTCTCCAGGATACTTGTCCCGGCCAGCAGGATGAAAAGGGCCCATGCTACCCTTAGATAAGTCTCCAGGATACTTGTCCCGGCCAGCAGGATGAAAAGGGCCCATACTACCCTTAGATAAGTCTCCAGGATACTCTGTCCCGGCCAGCAGGATGAAAAGGGCCCCATCCTGCCCTTAGATAAGTCTCCAGGATACTCTGTCCTGGCCAGCAGGATGAAAAGGGCCCATCCTGCCCTTAGATAAGTCTCCAGGATACTTGTCCCGGCCAGCAGGATGAAAAGGGCCCCATCCTGCCCTTAGATAAGTCTCCAGGATACTTGTCCCGGCCAGCAGGATGAAAAGGGCCCATGCTACCCTTAGATAAGTCTCCAGGATACTCTGTCCTGGCCAGCAGGATGAAAAGGGCCCATGCTACCCTTAGATAAGTCTCCAGGATACTCTGCCCTGGCCAGCAGGATGAAAAGATCCCCATCCTGCTCTTAGATAAGTCTCCAGGATACTCTGTCCCGGCCAGCAGGATGAAAAGATCCCCATCCTGCCCTTAGATAAGTCTCCAGGATACTCGTCCCGGCCAGCAGGATGAAAAGGGCCCCATCCTGCCCTTAGATAAGTCTCCAGGATACTCTGTCCCGGCCAGCAGGATGAAAAGGGCCCATGCTACCCTTAGATAAGTCTCCAGGATACTCGTCCTGGCCAGCAGGATGAAAAGATCCCCATCCTGCCCTTAGATAAGTCTCCAGGATACTCTGTCCCGGCCAGCAGGATGAAAAGGGCCCCATCCTGCCCTTAGATAAGTCTCCAGGATACTCTGTCCCGGCCAGCAGGATGAAAAGGGCCCCATCCTGCCCTTAGATAAGTCTCCAGGATACTTGTCCCGGCCAGCAGGATGAAAAGGGCCCCATCTTGCCCTTAGATAAGTCTCCAGGATACTCTGTCCCGGCCAGCAGGATGAAAAGGGCCCCATCCTGCCCTTAGATAAGTCTCCAGGATACTTGTCCCGGCCAGCAGGATGAAAAGGGCCCATGCTACCCTTAGATAAGTCTCCAGGATACTCTGTCCCGGCCAGCAGGATGAAAAGGGCCCATGCTACCCTTAGATAAGTCTCCAGGATACTCTGTCCCGGCCAGCAGGATGAAAAGGGCCCATGCTACCTCTCTCCCACGGAGGCAGCCTTGGGCTTTCTTGGAGCTGGCATCCAGGCATGAGTGGAGGGTCCACCCAGATGTCCCTACTGTCCCCACCTGTGATAGTATTCATAGGTGATCAAACAAATCATATTGCAGGTTATCTAGATGGTCATTAAGTACCCAGCAACTCAGTGAGGTGGCTTAATATTATTGCCATTGTTTTAAAGGCAATTCAGACATTGGGGCCTGAGAACGACAATGACCAGCCCAGGTGTCACAGTCAGCACCTGATAGAGCTGAGACTATTTTGCTCCCAATCCTTGCTTTTCACTGCTAAGGACCCAGCTGCTGCACTCCTCAGCCCCCGGGGAGAAGGATGCGTAGACACTGGGCACAGGAGCCACACCCTTCAGAGAAATTATAGTGGCTGCAAGTGCCAGGGGCCTGGGACGGGACCCTTCGCTTGACCATAGCAGAAATTTCTGCCCTACCTGGTCACCTTGTAGGTTAGGGACAGGAGCTAACACTGGGCAAGAAACACATCTACTGGGTGCCAGCCTGGGCTAGCTACTTGCAAAATAAGGATACTGGTATCTTGGCGATTACAGGAATAGCTTTACTGGGGGTAACCAAGGCTCCCTTGGGTGTGACCTACCCAATGCGCCCTTAGGGGCACCCATGAAGACACTAACATCCTTTACTGGGTTGCCTAATGATACTGGCCAATGTGGCCTAGCTACCTTGATGAAGCACACATCACATGGAGGCTGAGCATTCTCAGACCATCCCAACGAAGGAAGAAGTGAGACTCATTCACAGTCAGCCAAGGATTTAAAATTCAAGACCGGAGCCTGATCTTAGGATTTTAACACGATCCTGCCTCCTTCCCACTGACCTCCCAAGCACATTAGTATGTATGTCTGTAACGAAACACTTGGTGTAGTGCAGCTTACAAAGAAGAAAGGTTTGGTCTGGTTCGCAGCCCCAGAGGGTTCACTCCATCATTACTTGCCTGCTGTTTTTGGGGCTTGTGTCAGCACAGCGCTTCGCGGCAGAAAAGCTGCCAGAGGAAACTTAAACTTTCTGCTACTCAGTAGCACTCTGGCTGGGGACCAAGCCTTTAACACTTGGATATTTGAAGAATGTGTCAGATCCAAGCTAAAGCACCAAGAAGATGAGTTGCTAAAAGCATTGCTAACCTGCATTTCTCGGTATTTTGTTTGTGAATGTTAATGCATGCTGGGTGTCTGAACTAGTGGTCAGCACGCTTAGGGAAAGCTCAACAAGGAACGGAGCAGTGAGCTGTAAAGAAGACTTTTCTCTGTCTACCACAGTCCCACTTGACTGTCTCTCTCTGCCCACTGGGTCCCCACGGTCTCTTATAAGATAACCATCAGAGACTTAATGTATATTTATATTGTTTGGCCAGTGGCTTAGGCTTATTACTGACTAGCTCTCTCTCTTTTGTAAATTAATGCATTTAATCTGTGTATCACCACGTGGCTGCATCTTACCAGTGATGCCCTGGTATCTTGTCTCCCTGGCAGTTACATGACATCTCTCCCTGTCTCCTCTCTCCTCTCTCCTCTCTCCCTCCTCTCTCTCTCCCTCTCTCCCTCTCTCCCTCTCTCCCTCTCTCCCCCTCTCCCTCTCCCTCCCTCCCTCCCTCCCTCCCTCCCTCCCTCCCTCCCTCCCTCCCTCCCTCCCTCCCTCTCTCTCTCTCTCTCTCTCTCTCTCTGCCTCTCTGCCTCTCTGCCTCTCTGCCTCTCTGTGTCTGTCTCTCTTGGGTTTCCAGCCTGGCTTTACTATGCTTAGTCATTGGCTGAAACAACTTTATTCATCAACCAATAAAAAACAATGCATACTTGCAGCAAACAGAAGGCTATCCCACATCAGTAACAGAAATGTAGAAATGGAAGGGGAGGTTGGGGGTCGAGAAGGGATAATTGGGGAAGTACAAAGTTTGGAACCAGGAGCTGGGGTAACGTGAGGTTCCCGCAGCTGTTTCGCCCCAAATAAGAAGCTTGGGCTTCTTATTGGCTAGCTGTGTCTTATTAACCCGTTCCTCCCAATCTAAGCATTGCCACGAGGCTGTGGCTTACCGCTGGCATGATATTACTCCTCCCACGGCATTGTGACTCTGTGAGACCCGCCCACTCTGCCTGCCTTTCCCAGAATTCTCCTTGTCTCCTAGACCCGCCTACCTTCCTGCCTCATTGGACGAACAGTGTTTTATTCATTAACCAACAGGAGAAACACACACAGAAGGACAACTCCCACCCACGGAGGGACAAGACACTCGGAAAGCAGGTGGAGAACCGAGTGAATGGTAAACGGTCAGCTGAAAGCATCATTAGACCATCTCTCCTCCCTGGGGTGAGGAGCCCGGCCTGGGGCTACTGCAGAGGCTGCCGCCCCCTCCCAGGAAGGCTTCTTTGAATTGTGCTGGGGACAGATGGCGGCCTTGAAAGCTTGAGGACCTGGGTTCAGTCCCCAGAACCCACATAGAAAAGCTGAGTGTCAAGTCCCAAACCTTAGACTAATGGCCGAGCTTCCTTTTTAACATATCAAAGCAGACCGGCACCAGGTTCTCCCAGTATCTCAGTCCCTACCTGTTACAGGGTATGGCTGGCATACCCCGCCCTTCTCCTACCCTAAACTTCTCCAGCCCGGGGCTGGGCTGCCCTTCCCACAGCCCTTCCCTATAAAATCCAGACATTTTGATTACCTTTTGGGCCGCCTGGCTGCTGTACCGGGTTCCCTTCTCTCCGTCCTCTCTGCCCCTCTCCTCACGTGGCTCCGCTCCGAATCATGTCCACTCTGGACTCTCCCAGATGTCCCTGCCTCTGGCTGTGCTGGCCCACACATCTACAATAAGCCTTTCCTACAGCATGCCTAGTCCTTTCCTTTCTGTTTTTCATTCACTGACCACGGAAGTGCACACCTATAATCCCAGCACTGAGGAGGCAGAGACAGCAGATCCCTGGGACTCCCTGGCTGGTCCTCCCAATCAGCAAGCTCCAAGCCCGTGAGATACCTTGACTCAAAACACAGGTGCAAAATGACTCGGGGTTGTTTTCTGACTTCAACATGCAGGCAATGCACACACAGGTGAGTATGTACACACACACACACACACTCACAAACACACAAGAATAAAAATAATAGCTAGGCATTGGGGGCACACGCCTTTAATCCCAGCACTCAGGAGGCAGAGGCGGATCTCTGTGAGTCTGAGGCCAGCCTGGTCTACAGAGCGAGTTCCAGGACAGCCTCCAAAGCCACAGAGGAACCCTGTCTCAGAAAAAAAAAAAAAAAAAGAAAGAAAGAAAGAAAGAAAGAAAGAAAAAAAGACAGCTGAGGAGCTTCAATGAACATCTCAGGTTTTTCAGATGCCATAAACGAGTAGTAATCTCTATCTTCTCTCTGTAACTCCTGCTCTGTGAAAGTGTCCGGGCCTCATCCCCAAGGTAACTAAACTTGTGTCTTTTTGTTTTCATTCATTTTTGTTGACGTCACCTACTTGCTCCTCCATCCACCTGTAACATGGAGCCAAGGGCTTGAAGCCAGAGAAAACAAACCAACAAACTATTCAGAAGAGACACTCAGATGGGTGTTATTTTATTCCCTGAGTGAACTACAGCTAACACTTTGATGAGTGTCCTTCTGAATGCTCCCTCCCTCCCTCCCGTCCTTCCCTCTCTCCCTCCCTCCTTCTGTTTTCTTTTGAGAAAGTCTCAGTTTCCCCATCTTGGCCTTCCAAGAGCTGAGACCATAGGCATGAGCACCAATCACATTGCTGTGACACACCCTGGGCGCCCAGAGAAAAACAGGGCTGGGGGCCGAGGCAGGTCCAGTCTCAAGTTCGTTTGCATGCATTTCATCCTTCCAACTTAATTACATAAGTTACCTAGGAGCCCGGTCCACACACTCCCAATTCTAGAGGTCAGGCGGCCCCCAGGTTCCAGGTACACCATGGGGCTCTGCTCAGGACTAACTTAGCACTGGGAACTGTGGATCCTCTGCGTGCTCCCTCCCGTCTCCCTGGGAACTGTGGATCCTCTGCGTGCTCCCTCCCGTCTCCCTGGGAACTGTGGATCCTCTGCGTGCTCCCTCCTGTCTCCCTGGGAACTGTGGATCCTCTACGTGCTCCCTCCCATCATCTCCCTTGGAACTGTGGGTCCTCTACGTGCTCCCTCCCATCATCTCCCTTGGAACTGTGGGTCCTCTGCTTGCTGCATCCCATCTCCCTGGCCTCTCTCTGTGCAGCTGCCTTTGGGCTCAGAAGCAGAGTCTTCAGCTTGAACAGTAGTCTCAAAAGGACCCCGGATGCACAGCTTCTGTCCGCACCAACCCATTCAGGGCTGTCCTGCCATTACCACAAAAGCCACCTCCGCAGCTTGGCAGTGGTGGTGCCCACCTTTAGTCCCAGCACTCAGGAGGCAGGCTCACAGCCTTAGTTATATTCTATGACCTGGGAACACTCAATCTCCTCACCCTGTCCTACTCTGAGGCTCTCAAGATGCCTACACTCCCCCCCATGCCCACCCACCCAAGTTTGCCAGCTTGTTCCTTTTCTGAAGGAGTTACATATGCAAATAAGATGGATGTTTGCTCGGGTCTGTTTTTCTTTCTTTCTTTCTTTCTTTTTTTTTTTTTGGTTTTTCGAGACAGGGTTTCTCTGTATTGTTTTGGAGACTGTCCTGGAACTCGCTTGGTAGTCCAGGCTGGTCTCAAACTTACAGAGATCCGCCTGCCTCTGCCTCCCAAGTGCTGGGATTAAAGGCGTGCGCCAACAACGCCCAGCTTTTTCTTTCTGTTTTTAATAATTTATTTAACTTCATTTTATGTGCATTGGTGTAAAGGTGTCAGATCCCCTGGAACTGGAGTTGCAGACAGCTGTGAGCCACCATGTAGGTTCTAGGAATTGAATCCAGGTCCTCTGGAAGAGCAGTCAGTGCTCTTAACCTCTGAGCCGTCTCTCCAGTCCCCCAGACCTGTTTTTCTGTGGATAACCAAGAAGCTTGCCTTGTCCCCAGATCTGCTGAATTCTGAGGAGGGGACCAGGGAGAGATCAGGTCCAGGGTCTGTCCCCTTTGATGAACTGTAGCGTCTGGGCAAGGGCCGTGAGTGGCCTGTGTCCATCAGCCCAGAGCGCTGTGTGTCCTCACGGAGTAGGGGGCACACCACTGAGGGGCTCCTGAGCTCGCTGGGGGTGGTTCAAAGAAACTGCAGGCGGATGCTGTGGTAGGGTGGCTGCCTAACGGTCCTGGGTTCCATCCCTAGCACAAGACACAAGGCATGGGTGAGGGCTTTGGCACCTTGGCAGGCACATACCCCAGAGTCAAGAAAGGAAAACCGGGTCTGGTGGCCTAGTGGCATCTGCTGGGGCGATTACACACGACCCGAGCTGGGTGAGAGACTGAGATGGGATGGTACAATCTTGGGCTGGGTGACTGGGCTCCCGGCCAGGAAGGGAAAAAAATCTGCTTCTCTGAGAACAAGACAGGAAAGAGAGAGAGAGAGAGAGAGAGAGAGAGAGAGAGAGAGAGACAGAGAGACAGAGAGACAGAGAGAAACAGAGACAGAGAGAAACAGAGACAGAGAGAAAAACACACAGACACAGAGACTTCGATAGGGAGAAACAATGCGATGATGAAGAAAACCCAGGCACCAAGGACCAGGGTTGGGAGGAGCCTGTGGACAGTGCAGGCTGATGGAAGCTGGGGACTGAGAGTCGCGGACGGGGGCCACAGGCTGGTCCTCTGTGAACTACAGGCACCCATTGGGATAAAGGGGGTGATAGCATTCGGATGGCTCTTTGCCCAGTGTCCCCGGGGCTCTCCTTCCCCAATCCAATGCTTCGCCATGCTGGAGCACCCCCATTTATCCCTCCAGATGGCAGCAATCATTCCCTTGTTTTGTTTTCCATGCTGGGGACGGGACACGCGACAGGCAAGTGCCCTGCCACTGAGTTCTTCCTCCAACCCCACCGCACGAACCAGAGTTCCAGATAAAACCAAAGCAATCTCCCCAAGGTGTCCAGCTCTTCCCTGCCCCCTGCGCCTTGGAAGATGCCATGCCGCCCACTGGCAACACCTGGGCCGCTCTCCTGGTTCCTGCCTTTCCAGGGTGGTGCCCAGCTCATACCACATGCCTGCTTCCTTCTCTGGGCTTCTGTGATGACTCAGGTAGGGACCGTGCTTCTGTTAATCACCCAAAGTGTCTGTCTCCCACAGATGGCAAAACTCCACAAATCTCAGATCCCCAAGGGAGCGCTGCCTGAGTCTGGACAGAAGGGCTGCTTTGGTGACTGTGACACTAAGCAAGTGCCTTCGAGTCCTTACCAGCCTTTCATTCAGCCTGGCTCAACTTAGGTCAAGTGAATTGCTGACCGTCAAGCCGCCCTGGGCCCACTGAGTCCTTTCTGTTTCTCAGAGTCGAGGCTCCCTGCCTGCCATGAGTCTCACAGCCCGCCCCCGTTTTCCTGGTCGTAAACACTGGCACACTCTAAGTCCTGGACAGGTTCAAAGCACCCTGCCCTTCAGGGTCCTGAGCTTGAGCAGGGACCAACAGCGTGTGGCACATAGCTCTCCTTGCTTACCTGATCATTACCCTTTCTGTTAACAGTAACCACCCGAATACAGAGGCTGGATGGAGATTAATCCCTGCCGTGTGTGAACTTGATATAAGCCGAGTCACAAGTATGTCTCTGATGGAATGCGGTTTCTTTAATTCAACACGGTTTTGAGTGTCTTCCTAATTATTGCACATAATAATCATTCTTTTCATTTTGTTTTTGGTTTGTGTGCAGTGGGGGTAGTAATTTGTTTTAGAGACGGGCCTTCACTGTGTAGCGCAGGCTAGCCTAGAACTCATGATCCTCCCAACCCCAGCTTTCCAAGAGTCGGGCTTACAGATGTAGGAAACAAGACTCTTATACTGTTATAAACAAAAAAGACTAGGGAATCCAAAGCAGCCACAAGTACATAGTAGGACCCTGTCTGAAAAAAAAGTCCAGTGTGATGATTTGGAACAAGACCGAGGTTTTTAAACCCTGAGCTTGAGAGGCTCCTTGCCCTCTCTTTTCCACGGGCTGGGACTTCAGAGAACCACAGTCTTGGGTTTTTCTGGAAAGTCCCCTTCCCAAGCTCTCCATCCCCTTGGTTCAAGACGCAAAGCCTTGTCTGATGAAGATCCCAGGTCTTGAGATGATTGCCTTCCTTTCTGAACCTGCACCCAATCATGCAGCTGACTGCCTGTACCTTCCCAGCATGCTCCAGCGGCAGGCCAGGGGAGAGAGGCCCGGGACCTGCTTCTTATCTGTGACTCTTTGGGAAACTCCGAGAGCATTGCAGACCAAACATGGAGCATCACGATGTATCCCTACATGGGCGTGTGTCATCACGGCTTGGCTGCCTTTCTTCCCATCGCTGTATAACAAGACTACTTCTCCATTCTCATCAGGGTCTTTCCAGGGCCTCCCTCCCGAATCTGGGCTCTCGTGAGCTGTGAATGGTCTCATTGTCAGCAGCCATGAAAGAAAGCAGCTTAGGAGTCACCATGTCCTCCAGCATGCAAGTGCTCACCCTCAGAAACGTTTCTAGAGGCTTTCCCAAGTGGCTGCACACCTTTTTTAAAGTTCCATTTGATTAATTAATTAATCATTATTCTGTGGGTATGTTGTACCACATGTGCGTTCAGAGGACAACTTTCTGGAGTTGATGCTCTCCCTTCCACCACACGGGTCCTGGTAATCCAAGACAAAAGCTCAGGCTTGGCAGCAAGCCCCTCTGCCTACTGAGCCATCTTGCCAGTCCACGCCACGTGTCTTTATTAACATGTATACTCCCCTGTGCACACATGGAGAGAAGACTGGTAACAGTGTTGGGTGAGGAGCTGGTCAAGGGGGAGACAGAAATCTTAACAATCTCCACCTTCAGAATGGAAGCATCTTAAAGACTTTATTTTTTTTTGTTTTTAATTATGTGTGTGTGTGCACGCACGTAAGTGGGTGCCGGTGCCTGAAGGCGCCAGAAGAGGGCGTCAGATACTCTGGAGCTGGAATTATACACAGGTGGTGGAGAGCTGCCCAACTTGGGTGCTGGGATCCAAACTCAAGTCCTGTGCAAGAGCAGCAAGCCATGGCTCCAGCCCCGGAAAGGAGGAATTTTGAAGTAGTGCTGTTGTTTTTTCAGAAGAATGGGGAGGCATCTCTGTAGGTGCTCCTGCCCTCCCTGCGTCTATTAAACCCTCCAAGACCGTCTCCTGACTGCCCCTGAAGCCTAAAGCTCAAACCCTCTGCTCCCCCCCCCCCCACTGCTGTCTGAGGAAGTGACAGCCATCAGGGAACAGAGCTTCTTCCAGGCGAGCCCAGCTTCGGGGAGAGGAGAGTAACAAAACAGGGGAGGCGAAGAGGAAACACAGTAGCTAATCACATCCATAAATCCCAAGGGCTGCGGAGCTGAGGTGTGGCCCAGGCTCAGCTGTCGATCTGGAAAGACCTGCTGGCTGGGAAGCCTGGCAAGGCGAGAGGATGGGGAAGAGTAGGAGGCGGTGGTGAGGACCCTCCGTCTGTGGGTGCTGCTCCCTTTCTCCTTCTTTTCCAGAACATTCCACCTTCCTGCCCCATCCCCATTACACACACTTCACGGTAAGAATACTGGCTAATTCTCCCTCACCTGGCCCTGGGTCCCCAGCCCTGGCCCGCTCCACGACCTGGGGTACCTGTTTCTCCAACTGGAACGGACAGGAAGTGGCAGAGGCCCTGGGGTGACCGCTGGACGCTCTGCCTCCCTCAACCACAAGTCTGTGGGTGTGGACAGCAGCAAGCGCAGACTATTGCTGCCTCCCGGTGAGAATGGCTACTCAGGCATGCCACTTCCTCCCTGTTTGCTCGCTCGCTCGCTCGTTCATTCATTCATTCATTCATTCGTTCGTTCATTCATTCATTCGTTCGTTCAGGACAGGGTCTCGTGAGAATGGCTACTCAGGCATGCCACTTCCTCCCCGTTTGCTCGCTCGCTCGCTCGTTCATTCATTCATTCATTCTCATTCATTCATTCTTTCGTTCGTTCAGGACAGGGTCTCATGCAACTCAGGCTGGCCTCAAACTCACAATGTAGCCAAGGGTGTCCTTGAATTCTGTTCCTTCTGGGGCAACGTCCTGAGTGCTGGGAATGTAGGCTTGCACCACCAAGACCAACTGATGTAGCGGTTGGGACTGAACCTAGGTTTTGTGCATGCTAGGCAAGCACTCTACCAACGGGAAACTGCTGTTCTGACGAAAGAGCCAGAAATGCAGACCCTTAGCTGCCGGAGCTGCCTAAACACTGACAAAGAGGAGCTCCTGAAGGATGCTGTGAGGAGATCTCTTACGGATGTAGTCTCTGTTTCCTTTCATAAGTAAATTTACGAACACTTGAACTCTCATTTGAGTCTTGAAAACTTTCAGCATCTGTCTGTCTATCATCTAGTTATTCCCACTTTACAGATAAGAACACTGAGTTCCAGAGGCTTATGCCACACCCATAAAGCCACACTCAGGTTGCGGTTCCCTATGACCTGTCTGGTTAGCAACTCCTGGCCTCCCCTCCACTTCCCCATCCATTCCCTAGGTAGACCAGGGTGACCTTGAATTCTGCCTGCCCCTGCCTCCTGAGTACTGGGATTATCGATCATTTTCTTTGTGTCCTGAAGACAAATGTGGGGCCTCTGTAGTCGAAGAGGCTCAGATGCCACATGTAGTCGGTGATGCATGCCTGTAATCTCAGCACTTGAGAAGAAGAGGCAGAGGATCAGAGCTCAGGAGTAGCCTGAGTTACTTAGCAAATCCCAGAGTAATCTCAAAATGGGGCCGGGGTGGGGGGAGTGTCCCCAGAAGCTAGGGTGGGTGGAGCCTGGGAGGGCGCCTAGGCAGGAGGCTGCGGAGGTGGGGGCAGAGGGCCCAGAGGTCTCTGTTGACTTCTGCTCCTTGGACCACACGAATCTCGCAGTCATCAGTTCCTGCATCCCCACCTGACCGGCTCTAGTAAATGATTAAGACTGGAATGGCAGTGGAGAGCATTTACTGTGCAGCTGAGAGGCAGGGAACACGGTGTGCCAGCGCAGGAAGCACAGACATAGGGACCGGGAGACGACCCAGTGGGTAAAGTGTTGCCAAGTGTTCAGACCCCAGCACCCGTGTGAGAGCTGTATGCAGCCGAGCACCTGCAATCCCTGCTGTCCTACACACAGGCGGGAGGTGTGTGTACATGTGGCCAGAACACTGACCCACATAAAATGAAAACAAAAATAAATCTTCCAAAGTGAAAATCAACAAGGAGCATAGCAGAATGCCATTAGGAGTTGTGTTAAGTTGTTTTATTGCTTTTTTTTTTCTTTTTAGAAGAGTTGTATGGTTTTACCCTAGGTCCCTGGGCTAACCACTCTCTACTCCCAGGTTCTTGGTCGTTCAAGAAGCATCAGGTATGGGTTCCATCTAGGAGAATGATCCTTAAGTCAAATCAGATTTGCGCAATCGTATCTTGCAGGCAGGACACCACTGTGGGTCAAAGCATTTGTAGCTGTGGACTCCTCTCCTTTGGTAGCATGCAGAGTGCCTTCTAGTTCCAAGGACACTATGGGGTGAAGGCTCTAGGTACCCACCAGCCTTCGCCTCCCGAGTGTTGCCATTAAAGACATGTGCCACCATGCCCAGCTGCCTGTTTGTTTTCTAAGGAGAGACAGAAAAGGGGGGATCTGGATGGAAGGGGAGGTGGGAAGGAACTGGGAGGAATTGGGAGAGGAAAAACTATAATGAGAATGCATTGTGCGGAAGATGAGGACTAGCCCTCAAGGTTGTCCTCTGACCTCTGTGTGTTCCTGGGCATGTGCATGCCTACAAAGTGCACACACAGACACGTCCCCCCCCCCAATACAGCACACACATTGAAAAGGAAGTGTAGCTGCGTGGTAGCTCTTGGGAGGCAGAGGCAGGCAGATCTCTGTGAGAGAGAGTTCCAGGACAGGCTCCAAAGCTACAAGAATAAAATAACCAAACAAACAGAAAAGCAAGTGTAGACTCTCTAAACTGAAAAGTGGGTGGTCTCCCCACTGCTCTGTCCTGCTCCACAAGTGCCAGGAAGAGCTGCCCAGGCCAGGTTGGCAAAGTCCAGTCCAGTGTCCTGCTTTGAGTCATTCTAGGCAATGTAAAAGTGAGACGTCCCAAGAGAGGAGCCCCACCCTCCCCAGCCCTCATCCGAATTCAGGTTGTTTGAGTCAGGCCTAGGACTTGGCCTTGTGGCCATCAGCCTTCTGGGCGTGCGGCTGTCTGACCAACGACCAACCCGCTTGTAACCCAGCGCTTTGTCATTTCCTGTCAGAAGCTCCTCTAAGGGCCCCTGCTTTCCCAAGCCACCCCATGGTCTCTTCTTAAGAACCACTGAACCATAAAGGCCAAGAATATCCCAGACACACGGAAAACAGTGAGTCAGCTCTACCCGAAGCAAACACACAAACAGGACCAATGTCCAAGGCTCACACCTCCCTCAGTGTCCAGAGATGAATTCATTCTACAAATCCTAGACATGCAAAATGGCACGCGTAGGCTGTTCACAGAAGTCTTGTAAATAGGAGACAACAGTTGGAGACAACCTACGAATCCCATCCATGGGGCACTGGTTCAAAATGGTTGTGTATCTAAACAGCAGAACCCTACCCAGCTGTGGAAAAGAATGGGCGCTGTTTGTTAGGGGTTTTTTGTTTGCTTGTTTTTGTCAACTTGAC